TCTTGTTACAAAATTTTAATATCTTGATATATCCTCTCTGGTTATAACGGCCGTTTTAAATAAATATTTAGTTACGTTTAATGTTATAATTTTGTAATTTATTATTTTTGAAATATTAAGTTAGTTACTTTTATTTCCTGTTAAAATATTCCCAGAAAAAAATGAAAAATGTATGGAAGTATAACTTTCTTTAAGTTCTTATGAACTGATATATTCTATCCTCGTCATGAGCAATAAAAGTCTTATTCCTATTTTGCTTGGCAACTGCAATTATGATGGATATATTATTCCTGAAAAAATCGTTGCGTTATAAGTGGGAGATCGTTGCTACAAATTGATATGCAATTGCAGCCACATTATGCACATCCGGATATGGAACGCATGGCACGAATTTCCTATAAAGGCGCGCATAAAAGCGTGTTATCACCATCGATTCGGGTCAAAGGTACCATCCGCAAGAGAGAATGTGCATTTACCTAAATTTCCGCGTAAATCTTGCCAACGGATGTAAATATCCTTCAATGCATTTTAAATGTGCCTTACGGATCCGTGACACACGGAAGACGTAAATGTGTATCCAAGTGGAAAAAAGATATATTTTCTCACGCTCGATATGCAAGAGAAATTCATGCCGGAACGTTATCACGTCGACTGAAGAAATCTTTGTTTCCAGTTTACGTGGTATCTTCTTCTCAACTATCTCTCTTGAGTCAGAACGAGGATACACAAACAAGAGAAACGGATGTTATCACAAGAAATTATTTGTGAAATTTGTTTTCAAGAATATACGTGACATGAGGAAATAATCCGAACAAGTTCTTGAGAAAATAATATGTGGTTTTATTTTAGATTGTATATCTTGTTTCTCACTGAGAGATACTTACATAAAATGCAAAATGGAGTATGCTTCTTTTCTCGGCAAAGTTTAAAGTGCTGGAGACAAATAAGTTAAAGCACTAGAAACAATAAGTTAGCAAAATTTTATCGAAAGTTTCATATCTTCTTTGACAAGTTTTATTATAAGAAATGATATTAGTCAAATATATGTTAGGATCACTGATATACCTAACCTTGAAATAATAATTATATGCTCGTTTATATACTCATAAGTGCATAGAAAAAAATCGCGAGCACAGTTGACTGTATGTACATACGTGCACGTGTTTTTCATTATTATCGTTTTGAAAGTGTAATACAAGTACTAAACCTATTCATAGCTATAACCTTCACACCTTCGCTGTACTGTATGCCTTGTAGGGTGCGATATATTACGTTCTCATAGAGCTTAGCGTATCCATTTGCAGTAAAATAATGCAAGCGCTTAACTTGTTTACAGTTGTTTGTAGATGATATTATACTATCATAAAATTTGTTACTTAATTATGAAATAAGGACAAGAACGAGTTTTTGTTATTACAAACGTGGAAGAAATAACTCATCGAAAGCGCGAATATCACTATATAAATGATTTTAATCGTTTATTAAATTGCATTAATTATTACTTTTGAGATTGTATTTCGCAGTTCTTTTATTTATTCACCGTGTAAAATTGTTTGTGAGATTAATTGTTAAATCTCGCAAATAGTTTTTTAGAAATGGCATTTAACAGTTAACAATTTACAGATATCCAAATAACATTAATTTGCAAAGGTTTCCGCAGGAGATGTAAATCTAGGGTCAACATGAAATATGTAAAATCCGCATACATATGTATGCAGTAACGGTAACAGTACTATTAGGTTTTATATCAAACCAAGAATTGGAGACAAAGAAAAATTTGTGTAGAAGAAAAATGAAGCTTGAAAAACTATAATATTTTAGCATAGTAAAAATACACAACAACACGTAACAACAGTGCTGTTTAAAGTAGATACTACTGAATATATATGTGGGTTTAGAAATAAGTATAATATAATAATTATGCTTTGCAAACTAAAATAGCATCAATTAATGTTAATTATTAAATTGAATTGAATAGAAACTATGATGAAAATAACCACGATTAACTGCGAGTAAAAGCGTTATACACATATATTATTAACTTCAATATATGCGTTAGATACAGTGAGTTCAATAAAATAAACTAAGAATGAAAGACAATAAAGCGGCTAGCTAAAAAGAACCATAAAAACAATGATAATGATCATCTTCTTAATTCTACTTGAAATGTAACAGGATTATCTCTAAACCAAATTTGAAGTAAAGTAGAATATCAGAACGAACTAGGTTATTATCGTGAGATCGTTTTGATCATAAAACGCGACTGCTATTTTTAGCTCAGTTTTTCATTTTTTTAATACTTCGTAAAATACAAACTTTCAAAAATGATAGCGACTTATACTACGCTCTCTTTGCAAACTTTATAAAAACTTCAGAATTTTTATCCGATTTCTTAATGGATATTTTCCTTTTTTATATCATTATTTATTGTACAATATTGATTATTTTATAAATTTATTTATGTAAAGAAGTTTCACTAAATAACTTACTCTTATTTTAATAATTCACCATTATTTTGTTGCATATATATTTTTTTAAATCAGATTTCCGAGTAAAATAAATTGTCTCGTTAGAAGAGATAAAATGCATTTTAATGAAATATTTGTCGATACGAAGAAAAGAAAACATCTATCCAGCTCAAATCAAGCAACGCATAAAAATTGTCAAACGTACAAATAAAATATATTTGCAATTTTATTTGTATATTTCTCAATTTCTATGCTTTAATATAACTTAATTTACTACAATTGATACTTCACTTTTTACACGATTTGAATGCAATGTAATGCTTTTCTGCATTATTTTCCAACAAACTACAGAAAACCATTCGTAAAGCGAAGCCAATGACTATACGCAGCCTCTGTCAATCGTGTTCTGATTGCAATTCTGCATCGAAACAGAATCGTGGATTACGCCTATTCACACATTGATGAAATTCGAATCGTAGAGACTTCGTAAGAGCCGAAGGAAAATACGAAGCGCTATAATTGAACAAGTTTTCTTTTTTTCCTAATTTCGACAACTGCTTAGCAGGTCCAGCCAGATCCAAACGAAACTGTAATCTGCGAGAAAAAAGTAAAACTGCCTACAATGAAGGGATAATCCCCGTAATCAAGTCCTTCATTTAATCAGTCGTACCATGTATATAGTATGTGTATACATACATGTGACACTTGTATTTTTACTTCACCATTTTAATCGCGTCGTACAGTTATTATGCAGTCGCGTTGGATGAATGTTAGAACTGACAGACATTATTGATGCATGAGCTATGTATGTCACTAGTACTGTTGTTCCATGTATACTACATCGATCAAATTTACTACATATATGTGTACACTTTAGAATTGCAGAATATGTAGAATATCCTCGAAACATCAAACTTTGTTTAATAATAGACACGTTCTAAATCAACATTTCTCAACTAAAACACTGAATGACAATTTCTAAATTATACGTAATTATAAGTGATATAATATAATTATAAGTAAAACGATTAAAAGTACGTGAAATTTTGCGAATTAAATTTCAGTGTACGAATAGATAATAGATTTTCATTTAATTTAAAATAGATTTTAATGAATTTTAAAATAGATTTTAATGGACTTTAAAATAGATTTTAATGGATGTGAAATGCGACTAGAAAGATATTCCATACGCATAATTGGAGTGGATTAAAGTGACATTTACTTTTCATCAGAGCTTAATGAATTTTGGTAAGATAACAAATATGTAGCGAAACAGATATAACATCACTTTTGTGAGCAATAACAGTGATTAGATAAATCCTAATGCTAATTCAATATGTACGCGGAATTTTGATCAATAGGATAATCGATCTAAACGGGGGCATCGTTTGCTTCACCACAGTTTGAAACTGACGCAAATCCCGGTGCTCGCCCAACGGTAGCCATGGCAACAGGTGGCGCGGGTTCTCTCAACCCTCGAGCTCGACGTTATGGACATCTTACCCCTCATACCTTACTCTCCAATCCAACACTTGCAATCCACTAGCGATCAGACTCTTAGGGTGGCAGATGCAAGGATCAATTATTTCCTAACTCTGAATGGTAGAAACGTTGAAACTTTATAATACCTTTATTCTCTTATTGCTAATGTGCGTTTAATTATATATATAATTTGAATACGTTTCATTTTCAATATAGTCTAAATATCTTGTAAATACATATGTGATAAATATTGCATGTTGTAAAAGAAGAATAATGTGCTTACCAATATTAATATTAACCCTTACAGAAATGTACATACTGGGAACGAAAAGAAGTACTGAATAATTACTAGAAATCAGTATTTGAATAATTAGAAATTACTTAAAACAGGCTTTAAGCCTGATACACGAGGAGGAAGAAGAAGAAATTACTGATGTGCAGTAAATTTTTAGTAATTATTTCACTTTTATTGCTGTAAAAGAAAAATTTCTTATAGATACTTAAAATAATCATTTTTCTACTAGTAATTGATAATATTATAAAAATTAAATTGAATGATTTAATATTATATTTTTTATATCATCAAATAAAAATGATTTATCTTGAATATCCTGTAACAACGCTGTTACATCGTCACTGCGCAATGAGACAATAAGATTTATGAAAATTCTTTATATTTCTGTATTTATCGATTTTGACTTTCCCCAATATTATTATCCTTAGACGACCTGATTTCATGGTTGAAATAAGTTGAAACTGGAAATAGAGAATACCTTAACTAGCGCGAATAATTTAAATTCTGTGGAAGTATGCCAGAGGCTATTAGCCAAGTGCAATCTTGCTTGAAGCCATTACCGTCCTCGTGAGTCAGGTAACTTCTACAAATGATGACATTTGATCCGAAAATATTTTTTCTGCGTATACAAAAAGATATTATCGAATATACGCACCATCATGCAAACAATTATGTTTTCCTTTCGAATAGTATTACTACATAACTTTTTACGATTTAAATATCAATACGATATTTATTTATCAAAAACTATTAAGGCTCGAAGCGCTACGACCGATGAATAAAAAGTTCTCGCGATTTTTCATACTTCGGTTCGAAAAATTTCCAAGTCCCGAAGGAGGAAAATTTTTTAACAGTTCTAGCAGTTCTGTTGAGAGTTCTGGGTAGCCCCTCAAGAGTTCTAAAGGAAATCCTAATGGCAAAATTAAATATTTCCAATACTTTTAGTGTTATCGCTGATTTTGAGATTTCATTTTGTGAAGTTAGCATCCCCAAGTTTCAAATTTAACTTTTTTAGGTTAATTCGCCAGAAATATTTTTAAAATTGATAAGGAACTCTACAACTCTTCGGGGTGCATTCAGAACTGAAAAAAAAGATTTTTTGAGACATGAGGTGCCAACTTCTCACAGAGGTAACAGATGATGTCTATTATTTTAGCGGAAACTCCACTATCTCATATTAGGAGCCTCTTTCATAGATTGTATATGTACTGCACTTATATACATATATATTAATTTTCTTAATTATAACAGACATTTTATATATTAAAATTACATATAATATTTTTATTTTGTTTATCAAATCTTATTAATTAATTATTATTTTATAATTATGATCATTTAACATTTCAGAGCTTTAATCTTTAAATATCCCTCAATGTAAATATATAGGAGTCTCTAAAATATTTAAATCTTTTAATAATAAATATGTTAGAGATTAAAATAACTTTACTTTTTTATTATACGAGTATATCATCTTTTAGCGCAGAAGTTACAGTAATTAAATACATGTCAGAGTTGCGAGTAAAGTACTCGTATGTCACTTACATTTTATATGCGAGGCATAAGTTTCAAATACGACCTAATATAGCGTAAAATATATGGTATCGTATTCTGCTGTGTAAATAGTCGATAGTATTCCCTGGACATTGATAATGTATTGCTGGAATGTGCCAACAGCTAGATCTAAACCAACATGTACCAATGTGGTCGAGTGGCATCGATATCTCGACTAACTAATAGATAACTCCGTACTGCACGATTCCGTCGCGATTGATACCGGTCAGTGTACTCATTGTGTGCTCGATATACAATTACGTCAGTAATTGTCCCATCGATCGAAGTAATATCGTTGCATTGTCACGGTAGAGTATGCGCGAAATTCGCATAGTGCGAATCGTGAAACGACTCTTTGGGTTCGGTGCACATTGTCTATCGACCGTCAGCAATGTGATTTCGATCAAGTGTTTGTTTTTGAAGGTTGCGAAATGTTATTAAGTGTTTGGTGTACGAGATTCCGAGGTCAGTTTGCCCATGCACAATGTCGAATTAAACTGTTTCGTTAAGAGCTCATTCATACAACTGGCGAAAATGCGTGAGTTATTAGCATACCTGAAATTTTGATCGATATTTATAAAACCGAAATTGATCTAAAAATTAAAATCTTCTTTTCGGTTTTTCTTTTACGCCTGCCTTTTTAATTGGAGTATAGAAAATAATAGAAGGTACTAAAAAATTTTCTTTTCCAAAAATTGTATTGTCTATGATTATAATATTTATCTATTACATGTTACGTGAGACAAATTTTATAATACAAACAAAAAAAGACTGCAAATCAATTATTGCAATAACTTTTTATGACAACAATTTATCTTTAATTTAAATAAAAACTTATAGCTGCTAATAATAATCAGTAATATTATTTAAATACTTAATTAGTAAATTGAGCAATGTTCCTATCAATTACCTGCGACTAAAAGTTCCGCAATTACTAGCCAAAAGTATGCTGGAGGAAATAATTAGTCGGAAATGAGATTCTTTCTTTTATCGTATTGTAGTTTAATTGTAATAGCGAGAGCATTGTCCATCGTCTGAATAGAGAATGAAGTTAACTACTTTTTGTTGTAAGAACGTGCCTTGCAAACTAATTGCAAGTTAAGTTAAAGCAATAAGCCGTAGTTGAAACTTGAACGTACAAGAAGCATTTAACTCAATATATGTATGTACATTAACCACGGTAAATCTATTTATTTATGATTATCTCATTAATTTCTTTACAGAGAAGATTTTCGCCCAACATTTTGCAAAAAGTATTAATATACATAACATGTTTTATATTTTATATACATAGGCCGGTGTATTCATAGTAAGAGTTTCTATTTAAAACCATTTTAAGTTTATTATTAAATGCTGTATGGAACATTTCATTGGTCACGGAGTTTCTAAAGATGATCTTAAAACAATCTTGAACATAAGATCTGATTATGAATACCGCCCACGTATTTTAAAAAACAGCTGAATATAAATTTAACTTAAATATTATACCATAATTCAATATGATGAAATCTGAATAATTTTAATATTTCTGTTGACAATAGCAAAATTACTTTTTGCGTTATCTACATATTTTAATTAAAAAAAGACGATGGAAATTATTGATATGTAGTTAATATGTACTTAATATATGATTGATATTTTATTGCTCTTCTAAATATACATTATTATAGAGAAATATTATTCGGATATGATTATATAATGAAAACTTTCATAGTGCTTCGACTGTTTGTGGTTATCGATAACCACTTAAGCAAGCCGCCTGCTTCTGACATTAGGAAAGTGCACCTCGTAAATCGACATGGTGGAAATGTCAGAGTATTCCTGAACATATGTATGTAAGCAACATGTGGATTGGACATTTTAATGTACTTTCACATAACGATGGGTGTAGGTAGACACTAAAATTTTTTGATATCGTCACAGTTTTCCTCTTTCGTGCATAAAGCATTGAACAGATGAAATTTATAGTGCGGCAAGGAAAGAGTACTATAAATTTGCAAAAGGTCTTCTGAACGAAAATTCTGTGCCTGTGAATAAAGAGATTTCTCACATGGCAAGCCGTTAGCTTTTGATATGTATATTAAATACTAAATTTTGCTACCTTCTCGCACATTTATATAACTCCGTCCTACTCCATCTAGTAACAGTAGGTACGTGTGCAGTTAAAGTCAAGAGTATAAATTTTCTTGAATAAATGTAGGAAGTTAAACTAGATGGTGTTCATATAAATTAAAGAGGTAATTTTATGTTAAAACTACTGAGATGTGATTATTTATTTAAAACTTAAAAATTTGCTGACTTTTAATTTGTATAAACGTGTATGCTAAACTTATGTAATTTATTAGAATATTTTATTAAAGGTATTATACTTTGATGTTTTTGACTAAGATAGTACTTATTTGTGCTTATTATGTTTTAACAAATTGTTTGTTACAAATGTTTAAAGTTGTTAAGAAATATTTGAGGTCCTTAAAACTATTCTGTATTAAAATAAAATTGTAAGAAAAACTAATACAGTTTTTCTTACAATACAACAGATTAAGTTTGGTTTTAATATTTTTCATGGCTCTAAAGTACATTACGCCAACGTTTTTGTTTATTAATATTATCTTCTCTCGATATGTATGTAACATTCTAAAACATATCTCATAACATGACTTATTTTTCAAGAGTAAGAAAGCTATGGACATTGCAACTTACAGAAACTTATTACCTTCTTATTTTTTAAATATATCATTATTAACCAAGTAAAAAAATGCTATATATCTCTACTGTATTAAAAAATATTCTATTTTTGGTCCATAAATGATATATGTTGAAAAAGCATGGAGTAATGCAGTTTTAAAGTTAGAGAGATAACTAATTGCGCCTTGACCCGTGCAGAACACTCAGTGAAACCAAAATTATTTGCCTTTTAACTACAAAAAAATTACATGAGAGAATAATTTTTGTGGTATTTAACAGTTTTTGCTTGTAAAATGTTATATATCTGTTTAATACATTAAAAAGATATCATATACAGGGTGAGTCACAACATTTGTGCCAGAGCTCGTGAGAAGGTAGAACGGATCGAGATGAACAGAAAAGTCCTGAACCATTTGCAATTTTCGCAATAGTTAACGAGTTATTAATTATCAAAAATCGTCGTCTTTGCCCTGCCCACTGTCCAATTTGAGCGCGTGGCGAGATGTGACCGCACGGCGATCGATATTGCCAGGCGAGGGATGGGGACGCGAGACGCGGGAGCGGCGACGTAAGCTCGCCGGCAACGGCGCGCTGTCCCCCCCCTCGCCAGGCAATATCGATCGCCGGGCGGTCACATCTCGCCACGCGCTCGAATTGGACAGTGGGCAGGGCAAAGACGACGATTTTTGATAATTAATTACTCGTTAACTATTGCGAAAATTGCAAATGGTTCAGGACTTTTCTGTTCATCTCGATCTGTTCTACCTTCTCACGAGCTCTGGCACAAATGTTATGACTCACCCTGTATACATATAGCTCTCTCATAAAAAAATTCACAAACAAAAAAGATGTAATAGAACCTTGCGTGATATAATGCAGGATTTGACATAAAATTATAAAATTCGTCGCATTGTAAGATTATATTTCCACGTGTCCCTTTTAATGTTTAAAT